TGAACTCCCACTAGCTGGGGTTGGCTGTCTCTGCAGTTTTCCCAATCATGATCTTTTTTCAAATATTTATTTATTCATTATGTATACAATATTCTATCTGTGTGTGTGCCTGCAGGCCAGAAGAAGGCACCAGACCCCATTTCAGATGGTTGTGAGCCACCATGTGGTTGCTGGAAATTGAACTCGGGACCTTTGGAAGAGCAGGCAATGCTTTGAACCATCTCTCCAGCCCCCAATCATGATCTTAAGCTCCTTGCTCATATGATTCTTCCTCCCTCTCTTAAGTTCCAGGAGCTCATCCCAGTGCTGAATCCAGTTGGTCACTGCATCTGTTTCCATCAGTTACAGGATGGATGTAGGTTCTATGATAACAATTAGGGTACTCACTAGTCTGATTATAGGGGAGCCAAATCAGGCACCCTCTCTGCTATTGCTAGATGTCTTAGCTGGGGTCATCTTTATGGACTCCTGAGAATTTTTGTTGTTGTTGTTTTGTTTTCGAGACAGGGTTTCTCTGTGGCTTTGGAGCCTGTCCTGGAACTAGCTCTTGTAGACCAGGCTGGTCTCGAACTCACAGAGATCCGCCTGCCTCTGCCTCCCGAGTGCTGGGATTAAAGGCGTGGGCCACCACCGCCCGGCGACTCCTGAGAATTTCCCTATCACCTGGGGTTAGAAATATTTTCTAACACGAGCTCTCTGTTGACACAAAAATCCCAATCAAGCCAAATCAAAACAAGCCGAATTAAAAGATATCCAGGTTTAATAGAACTCCTGCGTTCTTGGTTGGCCCCGAAGGGAACCAAGAAGCTGCCAATGCAACCAGACCACCGCAGGAAAAGAGGGAAGACCACACATTGCCTTTGCGAGGAGCAGTTTAAATAGACTGGGGGAGTGATCCTGACCGCCTCTGGAGAGGGGTCAAGGTTTGGCCGGCTACCTTGACCCTCCTCAGGGAGGTGTCAAGGTGCAAAGGGCACAGGGGCGGGGCCTCCAAAGATGGAGCCAGAGTCCGGGATTTACACTTGTTTTTTCCCTAACCCTATAATGGCTCCCTCTATCAAGATATATCTTTCATTGCTCTCCCATTCCATTCCTCCCAAACTTGGCCATCTTGAGCCCTCATGTTCCATCGCACATCCCCTCCCTTTCATTCCCCTTCCCAGTTGACCCATGAGATCTTAACTATTTTCCTTTCCTGGGGCCCTCCGTGTGTGTCTCTCTTAGGGTCTTTTGTTTTTCCTTAGACAGGGTTTCTCCGTAGCTTTGGAGCCTGTCCTGGAACTCCCTCTATAGACCAGGTTGGCCTCAAACTCACAGAGATCTGCTTATCTCTGCCTCCTGAGAGCTCAGATTAAAAGGGGTGGGCCACCATCAACCAGAAGGGTCCTCCTTTTTACCTAGCTTCTCTGGGATTGTGAATTGTAACCTGGTTATCCTTTGCTGTATGTCTAACATCCATTGATGAGTGAGTATATGCCATGCTTGTTTTTCTGGGTCTGGGTTGCCTCACTCAAGATAGTTTTTTTTCTATTTCCATCCATTTGCCTGCAAATTTCAAGATGTCGTTGTTTTTTACAGCTAAGTAATACTCTACTGTGTAAATGGACCACATTTTCTTTATCCATTCTTCAGTTGAGGGCCATCTAGGTTGTTTCCAGGTTCTGGCCATTACAACTAAGGCTGCTATGAACATAACTGAGCAAATGTCTTTGTGGTATGATTGAGTATTCTTTGGATATGTGCCCAAGAATGGGATACTTGGGTCTTGAGGTAGATTGATTCCCAATTATCTGAGAAACCACTACAGTGATTTCCAAAGTGGCTGTCCAAGTTTGCATTCCCACCAGCAATGGATGAGTGTTCCCCTTACTCCACATCCTCTCCAGCATAAGCTGTCATCCATGTTTTTTATCTTAGCCATTCTGAAAGTGTAAGATGTACCAGAGAGTCATTTTGATTTGCATTTCCTTGATGACTAAGGATGTTGAGCATTGTCTTAAATGTATTTTGGCCATTTGAGATTCTTTTGTTGAGAATTTTTCATTCAGATCTGTGTCTCATTTTTTTAATTGGACTATTTGGGTTTTTTGTTTGTTTGCTTTGTTTTTTAATTTTGAAGACAGGATTTCTCTGTGTAACAGTTCTGGCTGTCCTGGAACTCACTTGTAGACCAAGTTGGCCTTGGACTCACTGATATCTACCCACCTCTGCCTCCCAAGTGCTGGAATTATAGGTGTGCACTACCTCCCCTGGTTTGAGTTCTTTATATATTTTGTAGCTCAACACTGTCAGATGTGAAGTTGTGAAGATCTTCTCGTTCTGTTGGCTGCTGCTTTGTCTTATTGGCTGTGTCCTTTGCCTTACAGAAGCTTCTCAGCTTCAGGAGGTCCCATTTAATTGCTGCTCTCAGTGTCTGTAGTACTGGTGTTCTATTTAGAAAGTGGTCTCCTGTACGTTCAAGGCCTCTTCCGACTTTCTCATCTATCAGATTCAGTATAACTGGATTTATGTTACGATCTTAGACGCATTTGGACTTGCGTTTTGTGCATGGGGATAGATATGGGTCCATTTGAATTCTTCTATATGTTGACAACCAGTTATGCCAGGTGGTGCACACCTTTAATCCCACTACTTAGGAGGCAGATCTCCAAGTTCAAGGCCAGCCAGTTCTACAAAATGAATTCCATGACTACCAGGGCACAGAAACCCTATCTTGGAAAGTACATAGGTGCCAACTGGACTTGGTGAGTAGCCCAGGTTGGCCTCCAATCTGGTCCTTGTACCTCACCCTCCCAGTGGTCACCATGAAGAAAAGGACAGAGAGGGAAAGCAAGGAAAGAGATATCTTGATTGAGGGAGCCACTATGGGGCTAGCAAGAAACCTGGCATTAGAGAAATTCCCAGGAATCCACAAAAATAAACCCAGTTAAGATCCTAAGCAACTATGGAGATGCCTGAAATTGCCTTGCCCTATAGTCAGATGGAGAACCTTCATCCAGCAACTGATGGACGCAGATTCAGAGATCTACAGTGGAGCACTGGGCTGAGCTCAGAGTCCAGTCAAAGAGAGGAAGGAGAGATGAGCAAAGGGGTCAAGACCATGATGGAGATGCCCAACGAAACTGCTACTTGAGCTAATGGGAGCTCACTGCCTCTGGTCTGACAGCAGGGGAACCAGCATAGATCCAAACTAGGCCCTCTGAATGTGGGTGACAGTTGTATGACTGGGGCAGACTGCAGGGCCACCAACAGCAAGACCAGGATTTATCCCTAGTGCTTGAATGATGGAGGAGGGTCATCTGTCCATGTATTACTTTCATTGGTTAATAAAAAAACTGCCTTGACCCTTTGATAGGACAGAAAATTCGATAGGCAGAGTAGACAGAACAGAATGCTGGAAGAAAGAAGGCAGTGAGTTAGATGGACGCAGTGAGTTAGATGTTACTCTAGAACATTCCACTGCATCTCCGGGCCTGTCATCCTTGAGAGAAAAGCCGAGAGGAAGTGCCTGCTGCTGGGGAGAAGCACGCCGAGAGGAAGGCTGTGAAGGCTGCTGTTGGAGGTTCCAGCCTGGTTGCACTTTGCTGCCACCATGGACAGAGAAGACACACGGACCATGCTGCTGGCTAGCTGATCCTGGGCTAGTTCTCTTCACTTTTACACAGTTCAGGCCCCTGCCTATTGTGGAGGCTCTTATTTTTGGATTTTATTTTATAGAAAAAAAGAAATCGCTTGCTGCTAGTGCAGCTCCCATGATAGACAGCGAGTGCTGTGCCTTCTCGCAGGGATAGCGCAGGGAGGTGCTTAGCTGACCACTGCTCGTTGTTCCGCCATCTGCCTTCAATCTGTATAAAAATAAGTTCTAAAACTAACTATTATTTACCAGTAGACCTCCCAAATCTAGCCTGTGTTTTTGGTCGCAGTTTCTTTCCATCTGGCATTTCCTCGAGCTCATGCCCCCTCCCAGGTACCATAGCTGACTGTCTAGGGAGTGCTGCCCATAGGGCGCTGGGCAGTGAACCATCAAGGCTATCTATTACCTTGATCTAGATAATTCTTTAAGTCTGCTCTGTTGAACTAAGAGGTGGTGGTGCACACCTTCAGTCCCAGCCCTTGGGGAGCAGAGGTAGACGGATCTCTGAGTTTGAGGCCAACCTGGTCTACAGAGTGAGTTCCAGGACAACCAGGGCTACAAAGAGAAACCCTGGCTTGAAAAACCAAACAGGAAAAAATTCTATGCTGAGGGCTTGGGGATGGCTCTGAGGTTAAGACCACTGGCTGCTCTTGCAGAGGACCTGGCTTTGGTCCTCAGCATCCACATGGTGACTCACAGACATCTGTAACTCCAGCTCCAGGGGACCTGACACTCTCTTCTGACAGCAGCTGCAATCATGTACACATAATACAATTAAAAATAAAAGTTGCTGAGCTTGGTGGCTGTCTCAGGGTTTTAATTGCTGTGAAGAGACACAATGACCACAGAGACTTTTTTCTTTAATTATTTTTTAAAAAACTCTTTTCTCATCTTACATACCAATTCCAGTTCCCAATCCCTTCCCTCCTTCTGCTCCCTCAACCTTCCCCTGTACCCCACCCCCATCCACTCAGAAAGGGTAAGGCTTCTCATGGGAAGTCACAAAGTCTAGCACATTGCTTTGAGGCAGGACCAAGGCCCTCTGCACTATATCTTTGCTGAGCAAGGTATCCATCCAAAGAGAATGGGATTCAAAAAGACAGTTCAAGTGTAGAAGGAACAGCGGGCTATGTCCGGCCACCCTGCTAGCTTTACACCTGAAATAATTACACGGAAACTGTATTCTTTTAAACACTGCCTGGCCCATTAGCTCTAGCCTCTTACTGGCTAATTCTCACATATGGATCTAACCCATTTCTAATAATCTGTGTAGCACCACAAGGTGGTGGCTTACCAGGGAAGATCTTAACCTGCGTCTGTGTCGGGTAGGAGAATCATGGTGACTCCTTGACTCAGCTTCTTTCTCCCAGCATTCTGTTCTGTTTACTCCGCCTACCTAATTTTATTTCCTATTAAAGGGCCAAGGCAGTCTCTTTATTTAACCAATGAAATTAACACAAAACAGAAGACTCTCCCCCATCACTCAGCTAGCATCTGAGTGAAACAGAAGGCCGCCATTTCGAAGCAGCAGCCAGCTGCATGGAGAGCCTGGGGGTATGGCACCCGGAAGGCATGGCCCTCAAATGTCTCAAACTATGTCCAAGTAAAGGAGGCGGCCACAGTTCCACAGCTTCCAGGTGAGTATGGTTCCTAGGCTACAATCCTTGCTGTGGCTTGCTTTAAGTGGGTGTGACTTATGGTGGGCGTGGTCTCTGCCTGGGCAGGGCTGTCAGCTGGGCGATCTGGAGGACTGTTCTTCCTCAGTGGCGCTTCCAGCTGGTATGACCCAAGATAGGTAGGCAACCTTCTGGTGGAAGAAGGTAGAGTTTCCCTTGTATCCTGAGAGGGGGGACGCCCAGCACCCTACAACACACACGACGTCCCCACAGCAGCGACGCAACCCCAAGGAGTCCACAGAGGCAAGGTTGAGAAGTCCTACCTCAGGCATACTGTAGGTGCTTAATGGGTGTTAACTGAGTGAATGAATACCTGGTGAGGTTCCAGCAGGGTGGCAGGCCATCCTGGAGATCCATCTGGGAGGGGCTGAAGGGTAGACAGCAGGAGGGACTTCCCCGTGTGCCTGCAGATCCTGCTGGGGGTGTTCCTGAAGCTCTTGCAGGAAGGCAGCCACTTGGTGATGGAGAAGGGTGAGGACCGGAGAGGCAGGCCACAACCTCAGGCTGCCTGGATGCTTAGAGGGCAAGGGGCTAGACACAGCACAGGACTGCAGAGGGGTAGGGCATTCCTAGGAACACTATAGGCACACACACACACGCACACACTCCACTCCCAGGCAGTCTGAGCTCTGCAGCCTTGCTTGACCCTAGATGTGCCCCCAAGAGCATATTTGGGCCCTAGAGTGTGGACACCCAGAGGGGAAGGACTATCCCCACTAAACACACTCAGAGGCCTCCAACCAAATACAAATGTATGCCAGTTTCTAGTCTCCAGGCTGGTTTCCATCTAGCAACCCTCTTGCCCCATCCTCATGAGGTTGTGGTGGTAGGCCACCACTAACACGTCTGGCTTGAAAGCAGAATGTTCTAGAGGCCCCTCTGCCCCTCGGCTGGTTTACTCCGCACACACAATGGGAGCTCACTACCTATCCAGGAGCACCTAGCTGCAGCATGACTCACACACTTCAGCACACACCTACACACTTGCACACACACACACACCAAGCCTCTGAAGCCAGAGCTGAGGACACAGCTGGGGACCCCATGGCTCATGCTCCACGATCATGCCCTGAGCACTCAGCCTCGGGCCTGGATGTCCTGTGGCCTCAGCTCTCGTTCCCCCTCAGCCAGGAAAACTAGCAGAGCACGGTGCAGCAGATACACCCCCAAGCGCTGCCGCTTTGTGGGTGGCCAGTGGGCAGCCTCTCCATAGTAGTGGCCCTGTTTCTGGTTGGTCAGTGTCTGGATACCTGGACAGATCAGAGGCAAAGTCATGGCGTGGCCTCCACCCACCCCTCCACCAAAACAAGCGGCACAGACTATATTTCGACAGGCGTGTTCTAGGTATACAGATGGCGCTCAGTAACTGCCCACCATGGGAATGAACAGTGAGGGAATTCAGAGCTCACTTTCCCTGAGACCTCAGCCCTAGAAGCCAGACCCTTACCTAGGGCCTCCAACAGGCAGGCCTCCCGTGTGTACGCCTCCATGGCGGTTGTGTGCTGGAAGCAGTGTAGGGAAAGGACACCGCGGCCGCTGGCCCAGATGTCTAAGATCCGGCGTACCTTGGGACAGGCCTGGGGGATGGAATCAGGAGTCGGGTCCTAAGCCTTCTGCCCTTCGACTGTCTGAAGGCTGGCAGGCCTGACCACTCCTGCCCCTTGTCCTCACCTTTTCCCCTGGGCGTTCACGGTAGCCGAGGGCTTCCCAGAGGTGAGCATCCGGCCGGGCACGGGTCCCCTTGCCCACGTAGAAGATGGCTCCCACAAAACATTGCAGACACTCAACCAGTGTGAGGGAGGAGGCTCTGGCAGGCAGTCCCTGCGTCTGCCTGGGCACAGAGTGGTGCAGAAGGTGAAGGAGCTGCCAACCCTGACGACCCACACCAAGGAGGAGAAACCCAGTTCCCAGAAGTTACCCACTGACCTCCACATGTGCACACAGACACATGCACAGAAAATAAAATGTGTAAAAAAAGGGTGGTGGGGGTGGAAGGATGTCTCAGAGAGGAAAAATGACCACTGTCCCCAGAGCCATGGGCCCTTTTGAACCCACATCCAGGGGCCCCTATTTTATAAGCCATGAAATGGGTACTCACAGCTGGAACTGACTCGATTAACAGAGAAGGCTAGTCCCTTCCCTAGGGACACACAGCAAATCAAAAATAAATAAATCCCCACCAACGTGTGTGTGTGTGTGTGTGTGTGTGTGTGTGTGTGTGTGTACAGAATCTCCATGCTACAACCCAGACCTCGTGCTCACAGTCCCCCCACCTTGGGATGCAGAAGCCACCAGCAAGGGACAATCCAACCCTTCCCCACCTCTGTCAGGGCGGACCCTGCGGAGCCAGGATCCCTCTAGTCCCAAGCCCCAGCTTTACCGTCACCATCATACCTGGGGTCAAGAAGAAGATATGTAAAGCTGGACTTGGTAACGCCTCCCCGCCACCTCTTCGTGGGATCGAGCCGTTGAAAGTACTGAGCCAGGGCGGCCTCATCCGCCTTGCAGTCGGGAATGCAGCCTGTTCTCAGCACTTCCGCCAATTCTGGGCTGTGCCCTGGAACAGTTGGGAAGGGGAAACCGAGCCAGAGCTGAGGAGGACCTCCGGTGAGGACGGTGGGGCTAACAGGCAGGTCTCGGGATTCCACACCGCCACGGGACTCCCAGTCCTGCCAAGGGACTCACCCGGGCTAGCCTGGGCTTCCTGCAGCCGCCGCAAGTAGTATCCACGGGTGAAAGGGGTGACCGGGCCAGGACTGTGGCCCAGCGCCCGCAAGGCCTGGAGCAGCTGCAGGTCGGACATGGGAGACACCAAGCCGTGTGGATGCAAGGCCCCCGAGTCCCCGTCACTGGGCAGGGATGGGACATTGGTGGCCCCTGTGGTCAACGTCAGGGCCTGCAGCTGGCAGCTCAGTACCCCATCCCCAGCTGTCTCAGCTCCACCAGATGGCCACAGGCTGGCTGTCGACCCCAGTGTCCCCGCAGGTCGCTGGGACTGCAGAGAGTCCTCCGATGCAGTGACAAAGGAGGCGTCACTGCTGCAGTCCTCACTCCCAGTGGCCTCGGGACTCCCGGGCTCCACCGCCACCTCACGAGCAGCTGCCAGCTCAGCTCTGCGCATGAGCTGCTCTGAGTCCGGTGACAAACACGGAGGTATAAAGATGTCAGGAGACCTCACAAAGACACGTCCTCGACCCATGGTGGATTCAAGGCCAGCCAGAGCTACAGGTAACTTCTCTAAATATAGATAAACATATATAAATATACAGATAGATGATAACTAAGCAGACAGATAAACCTATAAATAGATGATATAGACAAGATAGATGACAGATAAAAGTTAGGTGATAAGATGATTGACACATGATGAATAGTGATTGACAGAATGGGCAGATGGAACTGACCCCCAGAAGTGAGGCAGCGCAGTGACAGGTTCCTTGCACCCCCTGGGCTCTGCTCAACAGCTGACTCCAGGATCTCCTTCCGTGTCCGGGTGGGCGTGTCCAGCTCCCGCAGCAGGCGTGCGCAGTCACGGTGTCCCTGCTGCAGAGCCCAGTCCAGTGGCTGGAGCCCGTCCTGCATAGACACGGTCAGCTCAGCAGGGGACGCCCACGGCCCTCCCTCCTCCACCACCCCCACCCCGCCCCGCGCGTTGCGTGGGATCCAGACCTGGTCTCGCAGCGTCGGGTCGCCCCCTCGGCTCAGCAGCAGCTCCAGGGCGCCACGACAGCCCCACACGGCGGCCACGTGCACGGGTGTCAGCGCCTCAGTGGACCTGGGACCCCGGGAGAGAGGAGGAGTCTCCTTTTCCCAGCAGCCTTGAACTCTGCTCCTTCTGCCTCAGCCCCCTGTGCCCACTACCAATGGGGGTGAGGGAAAAGTTGATACTCTAACTCACGGTCATCCTCCTGCCTCACCCTCTGAGTGCCAGAATGACCTCGTCCCGACCTCGGGAGCAGACACCTCCTAGACCAGACGCCTGGGACCCGGGAGCCTGATGGCCAGCGCCGCCGGGTCCCCAAGCCACACCCACCGCACCAGGGTGACCCGGACGGCGCCTCACCGAGCATTGGGGTCGGCGCCCCGGCGCAGCAGGATCCGGAGGCAATGCAGGGCGCGCGGATGGCGAGCTCGGGCCGCCAGGTGCACCGCCGCCACGCCATCCTCCAGCACCAGGCTGGGGTCCGCCCCGAGGTGCAGCAGCTCCTCCACAGCCCTGCGGGGGACGGTGACAGTGGACATCAGCCCTTTGGCCGCCCGGGGAGCAGAAGGCAAGGGAGGACCAGCGTCCCGCGCTCACCGCGGATCTTCCTCGCGCAGTGCGACCAACAGTTGCCGGGCAGCGTCGGCCATGTCCCGGCCCTCGGATTCAAATTCGCGCGGCGACCTCTGCGCACGCGCAGCCCCGCCCCCTAGCTCCCCAGCCCTGTCTCTGGGAACGCCCTGGTTGGACCGGCAACGCCCCGTGACGCTGACCGAGACAGGGTGTGTCCTGAACCGTCAAACCGCAGGGACAGGAGAGGGGGGCTGTGCGCTCAGCTGGGGTCCCATTCCGGGATTTGGAAAGCTGAGCCAAGAAGATTACCGCGAATTCCAGGGGAGCTTGAGATAAAGAGCAGAACCTCTGTTTGTCTTTAACAAAACAAACTACTGGCTATCTGAGACTTAGCCCAAGCTGTCTAGGAACTCAGCGCCATCCTCCTGCCTCAGTCTGCGAGTGCTGGGATCTACCTCCTGAGGAACAGCGTCGTGCACTTTCAATCCAGCAGAGCTGGCTGTCACTGTCGCTTTGTGAGGAAGGTCTTCGTCAGGTCCTGGAGATAGCTCAGCGGATAAGGATGCTTGCTGCCAAGCCTCAGGACCTGAGTTTGATCCCAACCCCAGGACGCTGACATTGGAAAGAGAACAGACTAACATCCACGTATGTGCCTTGGCTGTGGGCCTGCACAAGCGTGTGTGCGCGCACACACAAATTAATTAAATAAAAATTTTCTAAAGAGCTGCATTTTCCTTATTTGCAAATGGAGGACAGGACTCGACACTGAATGGCCAATAAATGAAGAGGCCAGAAAACATTTAAGCAAGCTGACCTACTTTTTAAAATTAAGTGTGTGGGTATTTTGCCTGCATGCCAGTCTGTGTACCATGTGTGCCTGGTGCCCATGGAGACCAGAAGCGGCATCGGATTGCCAGGAACGTAAGTTGTGAGCCCAAACGTGGAAATCGAACCCAGGTTCTCTACATGCACAACCAGTACTCTGAACGGCTGAGTCATCACCAGGTCCGGTCTATTTCTGTTCGTAATCCTTTTGAATCAAGGCTTCTCAATGTGGCCACTGCTGACCTAAAACTGGCCATCCTCCTGCCTCTGTCTCCCACATCAAAGTGAGCCCGACTCACACCCACTGCCATTTTGGTTTCTATCAACTGAGAAGGTGGAATGGATGAACCTCTGTGGCCTGACCTGAGAAGGCGGGAGGGACTCCAGGTTTGCCTTCCTCTTCTGGGGCGCCCACCAAATGTCCCCATCCTAGGCCCCTGGGTGGCGATCGCTCATGGTGAGGCCACACAGGTCCAAACAGTACTGCAGCCCAGTTGGGGTGGTGGGGTTAATAGATGTCACCCCAACCCACTTCCCACTTGGAGCTGGGACCCTTGGGTGTCCAGGAGGACCCAAAAAGTAAATACTTCCTGTGGGAGCCACGCCAGTCTTGCGTGCAATAGATCATCCCTGTCTCTGGAGGAAAGGACGTCTGGGGTGGGTTCTGTAGGGTGAAGAGGAGTTTGCAAAGTGCAGTTAACACCAGTCTAAGGGAGCGAACAGCCCAGGTCACAATGGCATCAGGACACTGAGATGGATCCGGCCGAGCCAGAAGCCATGCCAGACTGTTCAGTTCAGCTTCTGTTTTCTGTCTCGGTGAACCTAAAATGACCAGAAAGCAGGCTCAGAAGCCTCAGATTTTTATTCTGGTGACAAACTGGTCCCAGGAAGAATTTACAGCAGACACAGTAGGAGTGGGCTTGGATGCACCGGGCTCCTGAACAGTGCAGAAATGCCACGGGTCACACGGTGGCTTCACCCTCACCAGCCTCCTCATCCTCCAGCAGGCTATAGCTCGCATGGGTCTGGCAAGGCCTCTGAAGCGGATGGGCCAGCAGCTTGGCCATGCAGTTGTGTAGCTCGAGGGCCGGCCCAGCCAGTGCCACCTCATACTTGTAGCTGGTGCCCTTGGTGTCCAGGCTGCCCATGAAGGAGAATACATCCTGCGGGGGCCAAGGAGAGGCTGTTCAGGGTTGGCATTAGCCCTCAGAGGCCCTCCCTGCCCCTGGAGGCTGTCCTAGAGGAAGGGGCATCTAAAGTGGGTCCTGAGGGGTGAAGAGGAGTTGGTCAAGCCAGAAACTGCTAATGCAGTCAGCAAACATTGGCTGGCACCCACCGGGCAGCCAGGACTTGGGCACCCTAGAAGCCCAAAGTGCTGGCGAGAGGGGGCTCGGTGAGTAAAGTATCTGCTGGGCAAGCGCTTGGGCCCGAGTTCAAAACCAAAACACATGGACAGCTGAATACTTCATCCCAGTGCACTCCCCTGCAGGGTGGGAGGACCAGAACTCAGGAGCCAGCAGGGTGGCTACCTTGGCAACAAGAGACTCTGCTTCAAACCAGAGGGGAGGACGTGGAAGGGCTCACAGCAGCACCTGCCACCCACATTTCCTCATCCCTCAACAAGGCCTCACTCTGTAGGCCAGAGTTTTCTCTGAGATAAACATTCTACCCTGCAGGGAAGCTCCTTAGGCAGGAAGGCAAACAACTCCAAACAGCTTCAGGAAGTCCCTGAAACTGAGCAGATTCACTAGGCCCCTCCCTGCTGGGGTAAGGAGAGTTCCTTCGAGACCAGTGGCCTGGAGAGGTTTAGACCAGAGTTACGTGGACCGGACACTCTCCAGCCTGCAGGCTGTGCAGTGTGCTCCAGGCTCCCAGCCTGTGAACTGTCAGCCCTGCTGTGTGGGCTTTGGTGATGCAGCTGTCTGTGAGTCATTTCTGCTCCTGTAGGTGACCCCTCACCCTATTCCTGTAAGCAACCCCAGTAAGTTCACTGGCTCATCAAGCTGGACATCGTGGTGTCCGTTGTACTTTAGTGTACTGTGGGCTCCTCTCAGGGGTGAGTGCTGTGTCTGTCCAGGAAGTCTTGTCACACAACATCCCTATCACGTCACAACCCCTGCCTCAGCCTTTCAGGTGCCTCACTCACAGGCAGAAGGGCTGGAGTTACAGGTGTGCATGGGTGTGTGGATAGGTGTGTGAGAATGTGCCTGCATGTGCATGTGTGTGCACACATGCGTGTGTGCATGAACAGGTGTGGGGGTGTCTGTGTGCACTGACTACAGGCGTGTGGAGGTCGAGATATAACCCCTGGAAGTCAGTGCTCCCACCATGCTGGTCCTGGGACTGAGTGCGAGTCCTCGTGCTTGCCTGCAGTCTGTAAACTGAAACTCACAGGTATTAGAGACCCGCTCACAGGGCAAGTCCGAGCATAAGAACAGTGAGGCCTGGAGAAGTTGGGAGGGGAGGGCGCTGCGGGCAGACAGTGTAGCAGGGTAGTCGGGAGGCATGAGGTGCTAGGAATGGTGTGGCTGGCTGCTAAGGCCACAGCCTCCTGAGTCAGTCACCACCAACTCCAAGTGGAATGTAGGGAGCAGCTGTTAAATGACTGCGGGGCAGGTCCAAGTCAGACTCCACTGTGATGTCTCTCACCTTCCACCTCCTCTCGTCTTCCTTCTCCTCGGTGCCATTGTGGATGCAGACGATGTCAAAGAAGAAGTAGGGACACTGGAGCATCTTCTGCAGTGAATGAGAGCAGGGTGGGGTGCACCCCAGCCTGTGGTCCTGGGAGGTCCCCTTTGGTGTCTAACCACTGCCCTCCCTTCCCTCCAGGCTTACCTTCATGGGCTCAGTCAGGGAGAACTGGGGCTGGCAAGGAGGGCGGCTGTAGACCAGGATGGTGCGCACGACATAGGGGGGCGGGATGGTCTGCACATTCTCTGTGACTGGCAGCTCAGTCTTCTGCTGGCTACAGAGGGAGACGGGGGAGAGCTGGGATCTCAGCCGCCTACAAGCCGTGGCCGGAACCCTACCTATCACAGCTGAATCCCACAGCCACGATCCTAGCAGCCCTGCATGTTAGAGCCAGGGCCAGAGAGACAGAGCCGGGGCTAGAGGCACCTGCAGTCAGGTCCAAGGACCTGAGTTCGATGCGCAGGCCACAGACGGAAGCAGAGAAGGATTCTCACAAGTTCCCCTGACCCACACAGGCACTGTGGAACATGTGCTTGCACACAAAATAAATACATAATGAAAACTGTATGACTTCTTTAAAAGCCTTAATAAATTCAAGCCCCACCGCTGGACACAGGATCTTGTCCCGGGCTGCCCCCTACCCCCCCACATACACACATATACACACACACACATACATACACACACACACATACACACACACTGGGCAGCCTCGACTCTGTCTGCGCCTGGCTGGGGAAGGAACCAAGGCATCCCCACTCTGGGTGACCACTCACATGAGACTGAAGAGACCTTCTAGATCTGAAGGGATGCTAAGGACGAGGTGCCAGCTCGGAGGCAGGGGGCTTTCCTGACCTGGATCCTGGGAGATGACGGGAACCTCTGTGGCCAGGCAGTGTGACCCCTGGAGTAGCTGTGGGATCCCTGGGGTAGGCAGTGTGACCCCTGGAGTAGCTGTGTGACCCCTGGAGTAGACAGTGTGATCCCTATGTAGGCTGTATGACCCATGGGGTAGCCGCGTGACCCCTACATAGGCTGTGTGACCCCTGGGGCAGCTGTGTGACCCCTGGGGTAGCTGTGTGGCTCCTGGGGTAGCTGTGTGACCCCTACATAGGCTGTGTGACCCCTGGGGTAGGCGTATATTCCCACCAGCACAGCACCTCTCTGAGCCCGCTGCCTCTCACTCATCATAAAGTAGATGGTGGCCTTAACCCCCTGCAGACCCTCCAGGGCTCCCCTCTCCTGCCACATCTACTGCATCCTCAATTCTGGGGGAGCCACCAGGTGAAAGACAGGGTTGTGACTTTCCAGGAAACTGCATGCCAGCCCTGCTGCAGTGGACGTCCCCTGGATGGGTCATGCTCGCTGACACCCACCCCTCCACCACTCTAGGCGGACGCCAGGGACTCTGGGGGGCCTGGGTTCTCAGTGGCAGTGGGTCTGGATCACTGTGGATGAACAGCCAGCTTTCTGTCACGGCTTTTTTTGAGGGAGGGGGTTAATTTTGTGGTTTTGAAACAGAGTCTAGATATTTGTTGGTAAGGCTGGCCTCTAACTAGGAA